AGTTACTTCCTGTTTATACAATGGTGCGGTTCAGTTTGGTCAATTAAGTAATCTCATTGCGGGTGGGATCTGGCTCTTGGTAATGAAGACATGGTCCAAGAAGTGACGAAAGGTGGCGTCAAAACGTTGACATTTAAATAGTTACGTGTTTTTGACAAGTAGCCCCTTTGAAAAGTTTGGTCTGTGTTTTGTGTGCCAAAGCAGTAGAAGTAGGTATTTTAAAATGTGTGTTTCCATCTATTTATCCCTCCCCTCAACTTGCGCTATCTAAAACACTGTTCTTTTTCTTCTTCCTCCTCCTGATAGCGATAACCTGCTAAGGAGAGCTGCATGCCAAGAAGCCCAGGTAATACCATTTAACAAGATCAAATTAGATTAAAATCCTCTCCTTATCTCTCTTGTGCAGGATTCTGGAGATTCTCCCAGCAGGTCTCCTCTACGTGACTAGCCTGCCAAAGGGACTCTCTGTATTCTTCTGCTCAAATACCAGAAGACACTTTCCCCCTTTGCACCTAATTACGCCTCAGTTCAGTGCCATCACAAATTATTCATGAGCATCACGAAAGTGGAATATATTCAGTAAGAGTTTGGGAAACTTGATTACCTGTATTGCTTTTGTTAGGTAAACTTGTGGGCCAGCAGTGACAGGACTGAAAATTCTGGAGATTGAAATCGCATTTCATCAACTGGCAGAATGGAGAGCAGCTAGCATGTAGCTTTTCTTATTCTGATTGGACCTGGTACTCTGGTACCTATACAAAAAGGCAGTACCAAAAAGTTCCAACGAAGCAGGAAAAACCAAATTGATTTTATTATTACTGGAGGATACTCCTTGTAGTCCCAAACGCTCTTGAAGTTCGGCTGGCCCTGAGGGAAGAAGCCTTTAGTATGTCACGATCTGACTTGTGGAACTCCTTCCCAATAGAGGTTTGGCAGAACCATCCTGCTCATTTAGACGTCTTCTAAAAACTATATTATTTAGACAGGCCTTTCAAACCTAAGATTCTTTGCCAACCAGCTCTTAGTGATGTATTTGATACTTTTATTGTAATACTGTGTTCTTAATCTATTACTGCCTTATGATATTTATGCAAAAGTGCAGTTTTTTTAAAAAAAAAGCAAAAGCAAACAGATACTTGAAATCATGTTTTCCCCCCTTGTTATAAATTTTCATAAACATTGAATTGTGCCTTTTATGTGGAGTACCCTCCCCCCGTTTTTTATTTGTAGTTTCTCTGGCCAAAGATTTATGGCCATCTCATTGGCCATTGGGAAATAAAATACTTCGGATTCTGTCTGAAATTTGTGTCTCTTGTATTTTGCTGAACTGGATATGCTCATCCAAATAGATGTGCATATTCATTTTGGCAAACACAAACTTTAAAAATACTCCTTATTTTAAAAACTTTAAAAATACTCCTTATTTTAAAAACTTTAAAAATACTCCTTATTATGTTCTCAGTAGTACCGTATTTTTTGCTCTATAACACGCACCTGACCATAACACGCACATTGTTTTTTAGAGGAGGAAAACAAGGGAAAAAACATTCTGAATGAAACAGTGGATGTATCCATGTGGATCCATGCTTTTTAACCACGTTTTTGCACCATTGCATCCCCAGGCAACAGTGGGTGGGTGATTTTGGGGGGGCAGGCTGTAGCCATGGACATGCTATGTGATCTGATGGTGAATTTGGGGTGACCCAATGCAAAGATTCTGAGGATCCATGTGGATCCATGCTTTTTAACCACGTTTTTGCACCATTGCAGCCCCAGGCAACAGTGGGTATGTGATTTTTGGGGGGCAGGCTGTAGCCATGGACATGCTATGTGATCTGATGGTGAATTTGGGGTGACCCAATGCAAAGATCCTGAGGATCCATGTGGATCTATGCTTTGTAACCACATTTTAAGTGGGGAGGGAAGGAAAAACAAAGAAGGGAAAAGGAGCATGAAAGGGGTGTGCAGAGAAGCAGCTGGCTAAGAATGCAGGAGAGGGATTTAACGGGAGGGAGGAAAGAAAGGCAAAAGTTTCCCCCCACCCAAGCACCCAAACCAGCCAGCACCGGAGCACAGAGAGGAATTAGAAGGAGACACTCTGCTTTCCCCTCTGCTTGCCTGGAGGGGAGGGGCTTTCCCTGCTCTTTGTTCCGTTTGAGCAAACACAGCAAGGAAACAGAGGAGGGTGGGCAGTAAGACCCTGAGGCAGAATGCAGGAAAGCAGCCACTTCCTCTTTTCAGGTTTCCCTTCTCCGTGACTCGCGATTTGATTTTTGCCTGATTTTTTGGCTCCACGGACCACACATTCGCTCAATAACACGCACAGACATTTCCCCTTCCTTTTTAGGAGAAAAAAACTACGTGTTATAGAGGGAAAAATACGGTATATTGCAGCACTGTAACATGGAAACTGCCCTTCTTTGTGGTCTGAAAATGAAACTTATACTTCGGGGGAGTTTATTGGGATGTGAAATTCAAAGGGGTGAAATAGTTTTTATGGCAAGGAGCAACGGAGGCCTGCTTTGCACATGCAAATCCACGCTTGATGTTGCAGTCGTGCGAATAACACTTGAAAGGTGCCGTCACAGATGCAGCACCACGGTCATACTGGCTGTGCTTGCAGATCTCAATAAACCAGGGTCACTGGCTTAGTCGGAATGAGTGCACGTTGCTTGATTGCTCCCACTTTGCTTCTCCCTTGGCTTGAGCAACAGAAACAAACCACCAAGCCATAGTGAAGCTTGACTTCCTGCCGTGTCCAAACCTGGAATCTTGTTCTGCTCCCTCACAAGCCGGGATCGCTTGTGTTCTAGCCATGGTGGCTATGTTCTGTCTCTATTGTCAGAACCAGTGTGTCTCTGAATACCAGTTGCTGGCAGTCACAGATGGGGAGGGCACTGTTGCACTTAACTCTGCTTCTCCTTAACATCTGCAGGTGAGGCAATAGATGTGCTGGACCATTGTCTTGCCCTGGTAATGGACTGGATGAGAGCCGACAAACTGAAGCTCAATCTAAATAAGACTGAGGCATTCTAAGTAGGTGGTTCCTTAGTCTGGATGGATGGGAGACTGCCTGCTCTTGATGGGGTTACGATTCCTCTGAAGGAGCAGATACGCAGCTTGGTGATACTTCTAGATCCCTTGCTGTCACTTGAGGCTAAGGTGGCCTTGGTGGCCATGGAGTGCCTTCCATCAGCTTCGGCTGGTGGCCCAGCTGCTCCCCTATCTGGACAGGGATAGCCTAACTTCTGTTGTCTCTGCTCAGGTAACCTCTAGGTCAGTGTTTCCCAACCTTGTGCCTCCAGATGTTTTTGGCCTACAACTCCCATCATCCCTGACTAGCAAGACCAGTGGCAAGGGATGATGGGAATTGTAGGCCAAAAACAGCTGGAGGCACAAGGTTGGGAAACACTGCTCTAGGTTACATTACTGCAATGCATTATATGTAGGGCTTCCTTTGAAGATGGTTCAGAAACTTCAGCTGGTGCAGAATTTGGCAGCCAGGTTGCTTACCAGGGCAAGACAGTTTGAGCTGCATTTTGTAGTCTTATTTTGTATTTCTCTGCCTTGGGATATTTAGTTGGAGGGCGGTATACAGATTTAATAAATGATGATGGCGATGATGATGTTCTGCTTCCCATTGGCATCTGGTTGGCAACTGTGAGAACAGGATGCTGGCCTCAATTAGCCCTTGGCCTGATCCAACTGGGTTTTTCTTCATGCCAGCCAGCCTTAAACCATGGTTTGATGTTTGATTATGTATCCATGCTTCTTAATAAACCAGGATCCCAGATGTGGACATCACAGGGAAGCCAAGCTTAACCCTGGCTTATCATGGTGTGTGAATGTGTCTGTTATTTCACTTACCTTTGCGTCAAACAGGTTTAGGGAATATTCAGTTATTGTCTGCAATGTTGTTTTAGTGTTTTTGTGGGGGGGAGTAGTGTGAAGGATGGAATGATCAAACAGGAAATAAAATCAGTTTACAAGCGCCTACCCTGCAGCCAATGTTTTGGGTTAGTAAATGATTACAAAGGGTCTTGAAGTGGTTTGTTTTTTTAGTCTTCCTCTTTAAAACTCGAAAGCATGAGAGCAGAGCCTGCATAAAAAGCAAGTCTGCCAACAGTATAATTTGTAGAAGAGACAGGTTGTTTGTTCAGAGCAAGCAAATATATCACTCCCCCATCAAGTAAATAATTAGATGTTTCTAACAGCTGTAACAGACCTCAGAATTATGAATGCAGACACTCTTTTTCCATGATTTCCCCCAAGAATGCAAAAGTAATAGAATTAATCACTGACTTTTCCCATCTGTTCTTTAGATAACATGCCAGTTTGATTTCCTCTGTCCTTTACCCCCATGAATCACTGTTTCTCACATGCCTTCTGCCTTCTCGTTTCCACCGTGGTAAAATAAATAGAACAGAGTTGAGCATTAAATTCTAACAAATTTTTTAATCCTCTACTCTAATAGCCTCAGTGATGCTGATAATTGCTATGAATTGCTGCTTTGAAAATCTACAGAGCTCTCTTAAAACAATTGCTTCAGCTGCCTCGCTTTATATCTCTTCGCCAAAAGTGTTGAGAATAAATTCATTGATTATTATTATTAGTTATATTTGCCTGGGGCCTATACTTGTCACGCAGCTTGCATCAAAGTGGGACAAAGAGGCAGAGCAAGCTGTCAGTGTATAGGGCTCACATTGTTTTCAGTGGAACTAACTGCATGCAGATGTACCTTTGCCATTCACTTGCAAGTTGTCAATGTAAGCTGACTAGAGTTTGCAGAACATAAGGCTAAATTAGGCATCTAGGTGGCCTTTTGCTGGCTGCTGGCTGGGAGGAACTCAGTAAAGCAGTCTTGCTCCCCCCTCACTGAAGCCATTTGTGTGGGGTGGGAGAGGGGCCCTGTAATCCCTGAAATAACACAGAATTGTTCAGCACCAAAAACAGACAGATTTTTATTCTTTAATAATGAGAAGCTTTCTCTCCATTATTAGGTGTTTGGCAACCAGATTCTTCCTTCCAGCATGCAGATCAAGAAAGCAACAGTGTTTCTCAACCCTGCAGCTTGCAAAGGGTAAGATTCCCTTTCCCAGCCACCCGGCACCTTTTCATATACTTTGGTTTTGCTTTCATCAGGGCAAGTCATTCGTGGGAACCAAAGCCTTACTTCCTATCCTCCCCTGAACCTAATGTTATCAGACTTCTTCAGCTGAATGAGAAACCACAGTTAAAATGGGCCTGCTTGCTAAAGTTAACATGAACCCCAATCATACAGTTCTTCTCACTTCCCTATCCCACTCCATATTCCGCATTAATGTCATCAGCTTTCTCACTCTATGAATGAGATTAAGATGTTCCCAAATAGAGGGGCATGCTCAGACGTTGGGCATGCTGATTTAGTGCCCCTGAAGCCAAGCTGTGCCTATTTTCTGGTATAGCGGTAGCAAATGGCTGTCATGTGCAAAAGCTATTTCAAGGTCAAAGATTTAGCAGGCGTATTGGTTTTAAACCCATTGAGGCTTTTTTTGTCAATGAATGTGGCTCCCGGTGGCTGGCATCTTCACCATCATTTTATTATTTATATGCCACCCATCTGACTTGGTTGCCCCAGCCACTTTGGGCAGCTCCCAATAAAATATTAAGAACACAATAAAACCTCAAGCAGTAAAAGCTTCCCTGTACAGGGCATCTCATGTCTTCTAAAAGCCATAGTTGTTTATCTGTTTGACATCTGATGGGAGGGCAATCCACAGGACAGGCACCAGTACCGAGAAGGCCCTCCCTGTAGTTTCATGTCTCGCAGTGAGAAAATGGCCAGAAGGCCCTCGGAGCTGGACCTCAGTGACCGGGTTGAACAATGGGAGTGGGGATGCTCCTTCAGGTATACTGGACTGAGGCCATTTAGGGCTTTAAAGGTCAGCACCAACACTTTGTATTGTGCTTGGAAACCAACTGGGAGTCAATGTAGGTCTTTCAGGACCAGTATTATATGGTCCTGGCGGCCGCTCCCAGTCACCAGTCTAGCTGCCGCATTCTGGATTAGTTGCAGTTTCCAAGTCACCTTCAAAGGTAGCCCCATGTACAGCGCATTGCAGTAGTCCAAGCGGGAGATAACCAGAGCATGCACCACTCTGGCAAGACAGTCGGTGGGCAGGTAGGATCTCAGCTGGCGTACCAGGTGGAGCTGGTAGATAGCTGCCTTGGACACAGAATTGATTTGTGCCTCCACGGACAACTGAGAGTCCAAAATGACTCCCAGGCTGCTCACCTAGTCCTTTCGGGGCACTGTTACTCATTTTAGGACCAGGAAGGGATTTTTTGCTTAGGAGGCCAAGCCACCTAAGATTGTCTCGTTGACCTAAACTGCAAATCTAGTTTAGGCTTATTTTTGATAGGGGCTAAGTCTTACAAATGACACATTGTTTAGAAGATGTCCCTTACTTAAAGTCTTGTTTCCTTTTCCCTGGGTGCTCAAAATAATTTTTGCAGGATAATTCATAATTAATACCATGGTTATTTATTATGCATCAGCAGGCATTAAAATGCACGAGAGCATTACCAAAACAAGGTCAGGTGAAGTTTTTGTATTAATGTTGCTGAATATTTCCCTTTTAAAAGTAGAATTTGCATCTTACCAACCGAGGGCAAGTATTCCATATCTCATTAGTTGGGTAATAATACATTAATTGCTTGAGGGCTTATTATTTGGGGTGGCAGGCAGGGTTGTTGGGGGGAAATACTTAAAGTTTCTAAAGCCATAATAGAAAAGTGGCGAGATGAGCATTGGACTTGGGATGACGGGACATAGCCATGAAGTTTATTGGCTGAGCTTGGGCCCGTCACCATCTCTCAGACTTGTCTACCTCACAGGGTTGTTGCAGAAATGAAGTAGGGGCTTGGGAGCACCTTGGAGGAAAAGAGGAGCAAAAATGTAAAGTGTGGTGATGGCACAGGTTTTCCATCCTTGAATAATTCTAGAGTTCAGAAGGACTTTCTTCGGAACTTACTGTTTGCTAGTAAATAGCTTCTTTTTTGAAGAAGAGAAAGTCCTATGCTGATGCCCCCTCAAAATGTCCCTGGAAACACAAGCTAGTAGCAGTGAATTCACAAATTCACTTACAAACACAGGGCAGTGACTTGTATCGCCTCATAAAACCATTGAGAATCGCTGTGGGGTAGCAGTTGACGTGTTGGAGTAGGACCTGGAGGACCCGGGTTCAAATCCCTGCTCATCCGTGAAGCTCACTGGATGATTTTGGGGCAGTTGCCATCTCTGTGTTACCTGCCTCTCATCTCACAGGGGCATTTGCTTGAATTAAATTAGGAGCGGTCCTTGGAAGACGGGTGGGATAATAATGTCATGTGATAAATAAAATGCATAGATTAATCTGACTCCGGCACTGCCCAGTGTTCCTCCTTCTACCCCCTCACTTCCGCTAATTTGCTCTTTGCTTCTGTCATCGCGTATTCAGTTATCATTGTTTCCCAGGTATCTTGCGACTGAGAACTGTGTATGAATGACTCATTCTGCATACAAAACCTCACTCCAGTCAAATATCCACCTTTATACTGATGAAATAAAGGTGCCCCCATCCCATGTCGGCTTTTTGCCAAGGATCTGCAGAATAGCCTGTTGCTGTTATGAACATGATTTCGGTTTTAGTTAACAATTGAGGGTATTTTTTATGTGGGGGGGGGGGTGGACTACCATAAAGTGACCTCACACTTCTTTTAATTTTCTAGCAAAGCCAGGAGTCTTTTTGAAAAGAACGCAGCCCCAATTCTTCACTTGTCTGGTCTGGATGTGACTGTGGTTAAGGTAAAGACAGAGAATGGACTTGTGTTTTCTTTTCCTAGTGACTATTTCCTCTTCCTGGTATATATTGGCCAGAATCCATCTGTCACTAGAGGTGAAATGAAATAAAGAGTCTAAGTGCTCAAGTTGGGGAGGAGTTGTATTTTTTCTTATTTTAAAACCAGTGATGGTGCTGGAGGAGACTCTTGAGAGTCCCATGGACTGCAAGAAGATCAAACCTATCCATTCTTAAGGAAATCAGCCCTGAGTGCTCACTGGAAGGACAGATCGTGAAGCTGAGGCTCCAATACTTTGGCCACCTCCTGAGAAGAGAAGACTCCCTGGAAAAGACCCTGATGGAGGGCACAAGGAGAAGGGGACGGCAGAGGACGAGATGGTTGGACAGTGTTCTCGAAGCTACCAGCATGAGTTTGACCAAACTGCGGGTGGCGGAGGAAGACAGGAGTGCCTGGCGTGCTCTGGTCCATGGGGTCATGAAGAGTCGGACACGACTAAACGACCAAACAACAACAAAAACCAGTGCCATGTTTTGTGTTTTGGTTTGGTTTTTGGAATGTTGTTATCTTGCTTTCATTTCATTGACTCAAGGGCGATGGAGAATATATACAAGATTTTGGCGAGAAAGCCACCAAGGCCTGTAGGCAAAGAGAAGAGTTTATGACTCTGCCTGAGAAAAGTTCATTCTCATGCACGAGAGCTCATAAAATTGCCACAGGGCACTTGAGATTGATTAAGAGCAGTCCTTTTTTAAACACCTTTAATGGCCTCTCGGATAAGAAAAAAACTCAGCATCTCTGATGAGAACATAAAAAGACAAGAGAGCCTTCCTAAGGAAGGGAAGACTGAACTGTTTTGAGATTATATTGTGCTAACTGTTCAACATACTATTGCTAGCAGAAGTATGTCCTTTCTCCACTCGGAGGCAAGAGGGCATTCTGCTCAGGAAATGCCTCACCCTCGGATCAGGTAGGCAGGGCACATTCCTAGGAATTTCAGTAGTGAGCATTTGAAGCTGCCCTTATACTGAGTCACATTAGTCCATCTATTTCAGGGCTGTCTACTCAAACAGATAATAGCCCCCCAGAGTTTCAAGCAGCAACTTTCCCCCCAGCTTTGGTATGCAAGTAGCTAGAGATGATTTATCTAATCCCATCAATATGCATGGCACTTTTACTGAGTGGGTTTTTGTGTGTGTGTGCATAGCATATGTTCAGCCATTGAGCTACGGACCCTCCCCATTGGATCACAAAATATTTTATCATTCCATGTGGTTATCTTGTAAATTGGAAGGGTTCATGAGTCAAGTAGGATGTTGTCTCTCAATACGTGGATGGGAGACGGTTGCAAATCCCCCCCTCCATTGCCTCAGGATGTAGTGTGGGTTAGTTCAATAGATGGTGCTGTTTGCTTTTAGAAATAATCTAGCAGAGATTGTTGGCTGAATAAGAAGGCATGGTTCTCAGAAGCTACCCATTTGAAGAGACGTCAAAAACCATCAATTAGTCCTGCAAAAACAGCCAACTTCTTTGAACGGAAAAAGTGATTACATGTTTTGAGTTTGGCACTTCTAATTTAGAAACAGCATGGGTTATATTTATCTTAGTTGAGCATATATATTGTAGGGATTTCTCTGTGTTACATCCTGTATTGGGGGGGGGTGCTTTAAGAGGGTGATGCAAAACTTTGAAATTCATAAATGAGAAGATGTGTGCTGTTGTGCTGAGTATTAGATGTACGCGTGTTCATATGGAGATGAAAGGTTTTCTTTTTGGGCAGCCAATACCCAATGTTAGTCACAATCATGAGACCCATTGAAATTAGTGGACCCAAGTCCTTGTTTTTCACCGAGTCCGATCTGAGTATTAATACCACCCAACATGTTTCTGGCCTCTCTGTATCTATCACAGACAGATTATGAAGGGCAAGCAAAGAAGTTGTTGGAGCTGATGGAAAACACAGACATGATAATCGTTGCAGGAGGGGATGGAACATTGCAAGAGGTACTGTAAGAATTCTTCTACTTTTCTCTCCATGGGGGAGGATTCTCGATAGGAGAAGCTTTTCCTCCACCTTCATGCACTCCAAGCTTCTCCCCCCCCCCCAAGATTCCTCTCATCCTGATTCCCACTAAACCATTCGAAACATCATGTGGTGTATCAGTTAGAATGTCAGTCTGGGACCTGGGAGACCAGGATTCAAATCCCCATTCAGCCCGGAAGTTCACTGGGTGGCCTTGGGCCAGTCACTGTCTCTCAGCCTTAACCTACCTCACAGGGTTGTTGTGAGCAGGAAGAACCATGCACACTTCCTTGAGTGCCCCTGGAGGAAAGGGTGATATGTAAATGTAATAAGTAGGTAACTGGAGCAAAAATTGTAGGATACATCAGTGCTTGGTGGTGTGTAATCTGTTCATTTGAGGAAGGAAGGCAACTTCTGGTTCATTTTACTGATGTTAGCTAAAAAAGGTTTTTTTATTTCAGGTCATAACTGGCCTACTCCGAAGGGTGGATGAGGTAAGGTGTTTTCTTCTCTTGCCTTTTTCAGTTAGGCTGACCCTGCTCTTGGCTTGCAGTTTCATCTGTCTTGTCTTGGGCCCAGGGAAGTCAATCTGTGTCTGGGGTGTAGCACCCCAGAATGCATGTGGGGGCTTTGTGTGATGGAACGCTCCTCCATACAAAAACAATTTTTAGAATAGTAGCATGTTGACAGGAAGGCTAGGCCCAAAATTCTTCTCACTGAGATGCTGGCTTTCTGTGTAGAGAGACTTACTTCATATGGAGCAAGAGCAATCAATCATTCAGTCCCCACATACAATATGAAATGGTACAGCCTTGCCGCAGGTTTGTTGGCTTATTGAGAATTAATTAGGTCTTTGTCTTGGAAGTAGCTTCTTGCCCCAGTTTTGAATGCAAAACTTTTGAACAGGCATTTGTCCAGATTTGCAAAACAAGTGTTCCTCTGGACCAGTAGTCAGGTAAAGTGAAAGTGGAGCCCGTGACTGTTTGCATTCCCTTTGGAAGCAAGCTTTGGGTGAAATCCATACACCAGCAGGGGTGCATTGCATAAAGCGTATCAGGCTGCTTGTTAACAGAATTGTATTCCACAATGTCTTATCAGTACCTGACCAAAAGGAAAAAAGAGAAAGACAGAAAGTGCAATTTAATGATTCTTTCTGAGATCCCAGGAGGCTGTTAGCAACTAGAATTGTGCCTGCTGTACAGAGCCTTTGCCTGCTTATGGAGAGACAAAATTTATATTTCAGCTTCGGTGCAACGAATTACCTTTCTTCCTTTGAGAAATTGTAAGCTTTCAAATCTCTACACTTGAAAAAGAAACCAGGAAAAAGTAATAATGTGCTGTGACAGCTTTGCTGCTTAATGGAGGACCATTCCTCTCCTCCCCCATCTCCTGGAAACGGAGCAATTCCTGGGTAAAGGAGCAATGAATCTGAGCTACAGTGCTGTGTAGTCTTGGCCTTTTAATGTCAGTCTCTGTTTCCTATCAGTGGGGAAGGGATGCTGTCTTTCCCTATTGCTGTCCATTTATGGTTGCCCCGGAGGCAGTAGTCATCAGGTGCCTCCTCTCTCTGTACAGTGACGGACCCTTTTAGCTAACGGTTGGAGCTCACAATGAACTCCATGAACTTGGTTCTCTCTACTGGACAGGGCGAGTTTCAGGAGATGGCAGCCCCCTCCGCCAGCCTGCTTTCCCAGGCAAGAAATAATAACTGGATCCCTTAACCAGCTGGGGAGAATAATGGGCAAGCAAACAGAGATCACACTCTACAGCCATTGGCCAGGTTATTCGTCAAGCCAAGCCATGAGCAATGTTATATTCTTTTTAAAAAAGAAGTTCATCTTCCCAGCTTTTGATGGCGCATAACTAAAGAGCAGCTTCTCTGTTTCCTTGCAGTACAGTTCTAGTTCAGACTAAGAGGACAGTAGAGATCAAGTTATGCTTTTGTTTGAAGATTTTGTCTAGTTCCAGCATGCTTGACCTCACCCTTTCATTTCCATGCAGCTTCTAGATTGCATGTTGGCTCGGCGGGAAATGAAGTTTTGCTACCTCCCATGACAAAACACTTCCCTTGAATTTTCTTTCTTATCCCCCTTTCACTTTGCACGCTAGAACAGTGCACCCCATCACAGCTCACAGTAACCCCAAACTCCCTGAATATTGTGCACCTGTTCTGCTGGTGCAAGTCTGTGACCCAAAAAAGGCCCGGCACTCGCCAGCACCGCAATCTCCAGGTAGCTAACACCTCTTGGCAGGCTGTGGTTAGTACTGTAGGCAAAATCGCTGTGTCTCTCTGTTCGTTTGACACTGGGCCATCTGCTCTGAAGTATAAGGGGACAGAAAAGATAATGAGAAGAGGAAGGAGACTGGTTGTAAGAGAGGCTGCAACAGAAAGGCATGGAAGCAGATGCAGCGCTTCAGAAAATGAGTTGGATTTGCTGAATCACCGTGCTGCAAGCTGCAGTCTTCTGCAGAGAGCCAAGGTGTCGTGGTTGCACAGTCATTAACATTGATTTGCTGGCGTACTTGAAGGAGCACAGCTCTTGGTTTGCATGTGTGTGCACATACATGTGTACTCTATAGTAACGTGGCCTTAGCAGCCGGGCGTTGACTGGGAGAACAATGCAGGCAGTGACTTCCAGCCGGGCAGCATGTCTAGAGACAGAGCTGTGTTTGAACCTTCCAGTCGCGTCCGAGCCGCAACCCAGCATGTGACCCTCCCTTATTAGCAGATCACCTCATTCTGTTGCCTGCTCCCCCAATTTGCAGAGTCAAAGATAAAGACTGTCAATCTGTCTGTTTGGAAAAGGGCTGTTTGATTGGTGTGCAATAATAACCTCCCGACTTGATTGCCAGGGCGCCTTATTTTAATATCCCCCTTCGCTGAGAAAGACACTCTGCATTACCGAATTTCCTGTCTCGGCCGCGCTTCGCTTGGAGATGAATGCAGCCTGAGCGCAGCCACGCTTCGGGTGCCACCTTCAGTCTTTTAGGAGATGGCAGGTTGCTGACAGAATCTATACATTGCTTGGAGAGGACGTGCCAGGCTCTGCGTGTGTAACAATGCGGCTAATGACTACAGAAGGCTGCTTTGTAGCCAGTTGGCATTCGGAGGGGCTGTCCGGAGAGGCTGATGTTCCGAGTCATTCTTTATTACTGCCTCCCTTTCAGGAAGAGCCTGCCTGGGGTGGGGGGTGGGGAGTGAAATCGGGCGCAGCTGTCCTCTGCACAGAAAGGGAGCTGGATTCAGCTGGCGCTGATGCAAATTTGTTTTGCCCTTGTTCCCAGGCAGCTTTCAGTAAGATTCCCATCGGATTCATTCCCCTCGGAAAGACCAGCACCTTAAGTCACACGCTTTATCCAGAGAGTGCAAACCAAGTCCAGTAAGTGTGTGTGTGTGTGTATCATACGAGAATCAGTGTGAAAAGGAGGAGGATGGCAGGGAGGAGGAGGAGACTGGTGTATATTGAAGGAAGGAAGGGCTGCAAATCTGGTCCGTCTGTCCCCCCAAGAGGGACCATTTTAGGCACTTCAAGATTATGTTATACATGGTCACCTTCAAAAATGAGAAAAGATCTATATCATGACCTTAATGTACCTAAAATGGTACTTTCTGTAGAAGTTTAGACATTATTATTTATTTAATTTGTATACCGCCCATCATCCATAGATCTGACATTTTAGTGTATTTTTATTCTTTGTTGGAAGCCGCCCAGAGTGGCTGGGGAAACCCAGCCAGATGGACGGGGCACAAATTAATAATAATAATAATAATAATAATAATAATAATAATAATAATAATAATAATAATATCATCCTCATCATCATCTCAGGGCAGTTCCCAACATAAAATTACCATAGAAAAAAACCACAAAATACATAATAAAAATAAGAACAAAACCAAAGCAAGAATCCTTCCTCCCATAACACATTTAAAAGGGCACCGGATATCAATCAGCCAAAGGCCTAGTTGAAGAGGAACATAAAGGTATATAATGAAGGCATCACAAGAACCTCCCTGGTTACACAGACTTACAGATTTTACATTTATTGTCACATTTGTACCCTGCCCTTTTTTCAAGGAGTCCAAGGGAGCATCTGACGGGCCTCCCTGTTTTGTCCTCACAGCAACCCTGTAAGGTCTGGCTACAGTGGACTTCTTCATTGACCTGGCGATTTGAACTGAAGTCGTCATCCCCATCCCTGGTCCACACCAGGCTTCCCCAAGCTGGTGCCCTTCAGATGTTACGAACTTCTTCTCCACCCACCCCTGACCATTGGCCATGCTGGCTGGTGCTAATAGGAGTTGTAGTCCAAAGCCTCTGAAGGGTGTTAGCTTAAGAAAGGTACCACTAAGGTTGGTTGCCTTGCTCCCTAATTCCATCGCACTTGTTCTCACTGAAAGGTCGGCCGGCCTGGAAGCAATTTAATTAAAGCCAGCACTGTTGAATCCAGCTTCCACTTGAAAAGGGCAAGGGGGGAACCCTCAGTCATGTCAAGTTGGCAAGTATAAGTCTGGTTTGTTACAAGAGCCTTCGCTTTCTCCGAGCTGCAAAAACAAAGGATGTTGTGCCAGTTGGCTTGGAGAAAATGACCTACAAAGGATACCTACAAAGCTTCTGTTGAACTGAATGCTAATTAAGATACAGTGAGCAATAGTGAGCAGGCCTCTCTGTGGCAGTGAAATAACACCCACTTACTGCTGAGGAAAAGTATGATGGGAAGGCGATGCACCACATCCCAGATTTAGCAATCCCCAAAGTGCCTTTCACACTGATTTGTTACCCAGCTCCCCATCCCTGCCCCACCCCTATTATTTGACCATTCCATGAAGCTGGAAACGCTTCTGATCTTGCATTTAAGACAGAGTTGAATTTCTGGAGATTTCACAGCAGGAAGAAGGGGCAGGATATATTTTTTTAAAAAAATAATATTTATTTATTTATTTATTTCCAGCCACCAAAACACAAACAGTGAAACCCCCCAGGCGGCTGATACATTGGGTATACATATTCAATAACGTACATATTCAATAATATACTTATTCAATAATATTCAGTAATAACATATTCAAATCAACCACATGTACACTTCTATATACCTTAACACTCCTCCCTCCACAAGGTTTATTTAACTTTTAACATTTTAATTGCCCCAGATTGTTCAAACCTACCCAAATAATTAAATATCTTCTCAAACCAATCCTCCTCTTTCTCACTGACCTTAAGCCCTTTCATTCTATGTATCTTCACAGGTATTCTAAAATTATAATATTACTCAGTTTTTTCCTCCATTGGTTCACCCCTAGCTCTTCTGCATTTTTCCAATTACTTGCTATAACCTGTCTGGCTCCAATTGCCATCAGTTTTACCCATTTACATTCCTCTTTCGTTTTTAACTCGGGGAGCAGGATATAAATGCAGCTATGAAAGATATGTGCCAGTGTAAATTGAGAACTATAATGTAGGCATCCTCCCTTTTCATGCATTCTGATCCATTCAGTTTGTGGCAGTGCAGCAGGAAACCGACTCAAAAGGCTGCATTCAGAAACTCTTGCTTTTCTGCTTGCAACCTCCTAGTGAGCTTTATGGCAAAACAGGCATTTGAACCTCATCCATAGTCAACTTTATGCAAGACCCACAAATTAATGGGCAAGAATATGGTTGGGAGTGAGCAGAAGGTACTCTCTTATTTCATGGCAGTGCAGCCTCCACTGAAGGCTTTTTGTGTCGCCTGTCCTGAGGCTGTGGGATCAGAGTAGGCTTGAAATTGAAATAAAAGCTCTAACTTAGATGCCAGTGTCTTCTTTTTGTGTGTGTGCAGGAATACGTGAATGTGCTTATGCCAAGTCAGGCTGATCGTTCCTCTCACCCAAATGCTGTCAACTCTGACTGGCAGCAAAGGACCTTGTGGGGGGAGGTCCTTTTCAGCTCTGGTGCCATCTAGGGTCCTTTTAAAGGGAGATACCTGAGCTAAACCACAGAGCCTAGGACTTGCCTATCAGAAGGTTGACGGTTCGAATCCCCGTGATGGGGTGAGCTCCTGTTGCTCGGTCCCTGCTCCTGCCAACCTAGCAGTTCGAAAGCACGTCAAAGTACTAGTAGATAAATAGGTACTGCTCCGGCAGGAAGGTAAACGGCGTTTCCGTGCACTGCTCTGGTTCGCCAGAAGCGGCTTAGTCATGCTGGCCACATGACCCGGAAGCTGTACGCCCGCTCCCTCAGCCAATAAAGCGAGATGAGCGCCGCAACCCCAGAGTCGGCCACGACTGGACCTAATGGTCCTTACCTGAGCTCAAGCCTAGGATGCTCTGCAAGGGAAGCATGCCCTCTGCTACTGAATAACATCTTCCTCTTGACTTCTTCTTTAGGCATATTACTGACGCCACATTGTCCATACTGAAAGGAGAGACTATTCCACTTGACGTTTTGCAAATTAAGGTAGCCATCTCTTTTCTTAGGTCCTCCTCTTTCTGGGAGGGATATTTTTCTTCATCTGTCTTTTGCCATGTGCTTTTCTGACCCCATTATGTTTTTAAAGAGCATGCAACAATATAAAATCATTCCTTAAAGAACAGCGCACCTAGTGCAGGGCAGGGACTTGAACCCGTGGCCCTGACATTGAGAGCCTTATGCTCTATCAACTGAGCTATGTATGAAGGCATCTGGGAAAGAGAAGAGGGGGATTTGCTCCTATAATGTTTTTAAGCCTTTCTATTTTTTATGTTCTTAATTGTTTTTAAATGTGTGAAATTTGTTTTGTTTTTAATTGCACTGTTTTTACCGCTTTGTTGTTTGCTGCCCTGGGCTTCCTTGAGAGCAATGAAGGGATTGAAATTCAGCAGATTAATCATCACCATCATCTTGTGAAGATTTCCCTTTCATTTAAATGATAACTACTCGTCATTCTTGCTTTGGTCTTCTGATAGCCACAAAATTAAATGACTCATGGCTAAAATAACATTGCAGACAAGCACTCTACACTGAGGAATTAATTTGCAATTCCTTTCTTTTATGTGTTGCCGGAATATAGTGGTTGGTATTTTTGTTTTTGGACCACTGATCCATTGTTGGCAAGATCACCACAGATTACTGCAATTTATAACGTTTGACTTTTGTTGGTGATTGTTTTTTTTTTCCTTTATAGGGGAACAAAGACCAGCCCGTCTTTGCTGTAACTGGTTTAAGATGGGGGTCTTACAGAGATGCGGGAGCAAAAGTCAGCAAGTATGTTGACCACTATTGCTTTGTTTTCTCTTTGCCCCTATGTTGTACTTCTAGACAGTTTCTCCAATCTTGTACTTCTAGACAGTTTCTCCACTATCTCCAACAATATGCAAGCAAGGAGCCCACTGGGACCAGATCAGGCTGTGAAGTGTTAAGACAGCTGCTGATTGCCTCTGAATCCCTGGACCAGGTTCCAGAAAAAGACATGGGATGCCTCTAAACTGTCACTATTTTTCGCAACAGATTGAAGCACATACCAGAAATTTACGTTTGTGCAATTAAAATGGATTAAAGTGCTTTGTGCAATCAATCCACATTTCTATTTAAAAAAACCAGACCATTTGCAGTGAGGAAAGTGACAGGGAAAGTGTGGGATGAACAGACGACTAACAGGAAGATGAGGAAATATCCCACAAGCAAATGGGGATGAATGCTCAGTTTTGTAGAACAAATCGGAACAAGTGCTGAATAAATACCAGACATAGTCTGACCTCTTTGCATAAGCAAAACAGGATGAATGCTCAAGAAACAGGTCATCTAGAGAAGCCCACTGAGTACATTAGCACACATCCAGGTGCCAACTACACTTTGCTGCGCATTGCTTGGGTATCTAATGTTCAAAGATTAGATTGTAAGAAACAGCTTTAGTAGATACTGCATTGGAAAAGAGGACTGCTTTCCCCGTGCCCCCAGTTTTATTTTGCTTTTTTGGTTCATTTTATTCTCTTCTAGGTACTGGTATCTTGGGCCTCTGAAAATCAAAGCAGCCCACTTCTTTAATACATTGAAGGTAAAAGCATTTCAATATGGGTCACACAAGGCTATCACAGTGGGAAGATCTGTGATGCACACAGTGGTGGATCACATTTTTGAGTGCATGAAGTCCCCAGGTTTAGTCCAAAACAAAAGAATTTGCTGGAGAGTCACACCCAGAAAGCTGTGAGCTAGAGGGTCTGACACTGTGTGAGGCAATTTCGTGTGATCTTACTGTAAAAAAGGTAAAGGTACCCCTGCCCGTACGGGCCAGTCTTGACAGACTCTAGGGTTGTGCGCCCATCTCACTCAAGAGGCCGGGGGCCAGTGCTGTCCGGAGACACTTCCGGGTCACGTGGCCAGCGTGACATCGCTGCTCTGGCGAGCCAGAGCCGCACACGGAACACCGTTTACCTTCCCGCTGGTAAGCGGTCCCTATTTATCTACTTGCACCCGGGGGTGCTTTCGAACTGCTAGGTTGGCAGGCGCTGGGACCGAACAACGGGAGCGCACCCCGCCACGGGGATTCGAACCGCCGACCTTTCGATCGGCAAGCCCTAGGCACTGAGGCTTTTACCCACAGCGCCACCCGCGTCCCTTGATCTTACTGTATGTGGCATATAATGTAGTTTGGAGTGCTTACAGGTCATATTTAAGGCAGTGTTGACTTTTTTTTAACGTAGCTCAAAACCGACCAAGCTTTGGGTATTCATATTTTGCCAGAAAAGGGTGGCAGAGACAATTGGCTTTTTAAAAAATCTGCTAGTGGAATGCAGCTGAAATAATACTGCAATGCTAGAAATTTACTAGGGAATATTAACTGCATTATGGAAGGGTAAACAGCCTCTCATGCAGCTGAGGTTGCTCGGCTGCCTTCCTCTAGTGCAGTCCTTTCTCATGGTTTTTGTTATGCTAATGATTCACCCTGAGATTTATTCAATTGACGTAAGTGGTGCCTATAAATAGAGCCCACAGGACTGTTGATAATCTGCCTCTTGCATTCAGCCTACCTTCTGTCGCAAAATGAGCAGAAAGGTTAATTGCTCTAGTTCTCAGGTACTGAAGGATTTGACATACATTAAAGTAGCTGCATTTCCCCCCTGTCCACACCCTTTTCTTGATTCCTTAGCAGATAATAAACATATAACTCTCCTGGGAAATGCCCTGACACATCATAACATATGTACTATCTGAGTTTGCACGTAATACTAAACCATGGTTTAGTGGTATGTTGACAAGCTGCAGTGAGCCCAAACAAAAGCGTCAGTCTCACCTCTCCCCCCCCCAACCTTTCTGAGTGATTTGTTTTATATAAACCAGGAATTCTGTTTTTGAACAAACTCTGTTCAAATGAAACAGAGTTGATTTGAACTCTTGAACAAATTAAATAAAGCAGCTTCATAACAATGGTTTGGCTTGTTTTGAACCTTTCCAGGATTCCTGGTTGGTTCAGCAGGACAAGCCAGGGTTTATTCAACATGATGTTAATCTCTTCAGAAGGCCTCCTTCTCCTGACTACATGGGAGGGAAGAGTGCAACAGTTCACTCTGTCTTGCTGCAGCTCATCCACATAACGTTAAACCACAGTTTAGTGTGACAGTCGAGTGCAGCCTTTGCAAGACACAATTTAGATCAGCTAGACCAGAATTTCTTCTCTGTGGCAGGACAGTAACCTGCTTTGGGGGAAGTAGAGTTCTTTCCTCACACACACTTTCCCCAGCCACCCCGTCCCCCTCAACTGACAGAAACACTTGTTCACCTCATCACAGGGAAATGGGCTAGTAGAATGGCTGGAGGAGAAAGCAGCAGGTGGGTTAAGCAGCCCCTAGATTGCCTCTTCTGCCTTGTGGCTGTTTGGTGGCAACCATAACCCCAGGTCTGCCTGCTGCTGAATGAATGGTCGGTCTAGCTCTCGCATACCCCTGTAGAAATGGTTATTTTGCTTTTTCTTTCTGGAAATTCCAAGGAGTGGCCTCAGAAGCATCTAGCCTCCCTTTCCTATTTGGACCCAACTCCAAGGCCTCCTGAGGAGCCGGAGCAGAAGACCCCTAGACCTCCTTTATACATCAGGCTTTACAAGAGACTGGCACATTATTGGACACCTGTCCCCAAAGGTAAGCGGTCAGTCATTCTCTCTCAGATAGATAGATATATTAAAGCTGTTCATTAGAAGAATCCGTTTCCCCCACTGTGGCCCTGCAGCAGGGCCTTGAGAGATCTGTCACCTTTTCCAATTAAGCCAGCGAGTTGCTTTCTTTTTGTTGTGTGAACTTTGAACTTCTTTCTTCCTTTTCTGCGGCTGCTGTTCCTTTGAGCCGCCGGCATTAAATATAGATGGAACAAGGCCTTGTGAAGTAACAAGAAATAGAAGGATCTGGGCCTCTGCTGATCTTAATACAACAGCGCTTATCTAACTTTCTGTTTAATGGTGTCTTTCCTCTCGGACTTCAGAAATCCCCAAGGAGGTGACCCCGGAGGCCTGGAGAGAAATGCAGCTGTCCGCTATTGAATTCTCTGTCACTACTCAGAACAGACATCTTGACTTGAAAGTAAGAGTAGAGAAATAAATTAAAAAATGCTAAGCTTTTCCTTCATCTTCACAAAAGTAGTTGCTTTGTAACTTGAGGGGATAACAGCCTGCTTAGGCCTAATACATCAGGTCTGAATTCGAAATGGTGGCAACCTGAGATGTGCCTCTTTCTAAGTCCTACAACCTGTGGGCCGTGTGTGCGCTTCTTAAAATGGGCTATGCCAAAAAGAGAGAGAGTACTTTATGAGTACCTGTGCCCATTCTGCACATAAAATGTGTGTGTCATTGGAGCATGGAATGTTTAGCGCAGAATTCCATTTCTTGAGATTCTCTGCTTTTAAGGAGGCATAAACCACCTAGACCTTAGGTAAAGGTAAAGGTACCCCTGCCCGTACGGGCCAGTCTTGACAGACTCTAGGGTTGTGCGCCCATCTCACTTAAGAGGCCGGGAGCCAGCGCTGTCTGCAGACACTTCCGGGTCACGTGGCCAGCATGACAAGCTGCATCTGGCGAGCCAGCGCAGCACATGGAACGCCGTTTACCTTCCCGCCAGTAAGCGGTCCCTATTTATCTACTTGCATCCGGGGGTGCTTTCGAACTGCTAGGTTGGCAGGCGCTGGGACCGAACGACGGGAGCGCACCCCGCCGCGGGGATTCGAACCACCGACCATGCGATCGGCAAGTCCTAGGTGCTGAGGTTTTACCCACAGCGCCACCCGCGTCCACCTAGACCTTACTGCTTCACAAATATACGTGAAAGTGTGTGGACAAAGCCTGCTGCTCTGCTCTGAAGCCAAAGGAGGTAACAATTTCTCATGATCAGGAAGCTAGCTGGGCTCCAGGGCCCCACGCAGTTCTTATCTTTTCTTCATGACTAACAGAAATAGAATAATTTTGCAAGGCTGGTAAATAATTATGCAAGTTGAGGCGCACCATTCAAGGGTGCTTGCTTTGCATAGTTTACGCAAGCTTTTCAGTTTTTAACTTGTATTTATTTGTATGTTCAGCATCGCCCTTATAGGACTTTAGCACAGAACACAAGCCTGAAAGCAAGAGACCTAAGGATTATTGTCTTCCCTGTACCATTCTTTCACTGGAAGCAAAAACTAGGATGCCTTGTGCTGAATAACAGCAAGTACCTAGGAGCTAAATTGAACATCCCTCCACAGATTGAAGGATAATTACTGATATGCCCAGTTTTTAAGTGAAATGCCAGCTAGGCGGTATGTGTGCAGTAGATCAAAGGAGCGAGGATGCAGCTAGCTGGGCTGCTAAGAGACTCTTCTGGGCTCGGAGCACTGCTTTTTTATTTAGGACATTGTGGTTGGGTGCAGTTCCTGAGTGCATTCTGAGCTCTAGGCACTCAGCTACCAGCCTGCTTACAAGGCCACCACAATAAGTTCAGAACCTGAACTTGCCAACCTGAGAATCCTTAGCTTCAAGGATGATTGAAAGATGTAAGAAGATGTCATTCTGTGTGCTATTTCTCTAAGATGTAAAACAGGAGGTTGGAGGTTAATTTTTATTCCTTCTACAAAGAACACTCTGCTTCAACTGCAGACGTGAGTTCGTTGCCCTGGGACTGCAAGACTGTAAATGTCTACTCAGGAGTAAGCTCTACTTAGTTCAGTGGGACTTGCACTCAGGTAAGTGAGTAGGAGATTGCAACTGTGTGTGTGTGTGAGAGAGAGAGAGAATATGAGAATATGTTAATGTGCATTCTGTCTAGTTTTTGACCTGACAGTGCCCTTCTATGGCTCACACAGGTAACTCTTTGCTTTGAATTCTCCTGGCTCCTAAATACTATTTTCCCCCCAGAGAATGGGAGAAGCTACTGAATTCATTCAGAGGCAGATGTTGGGGCTTACATGAGATGCTGTGGCTGTTAGTATTAATGCATCCATTTCTGAACATTTCTTTTAGCGCACAGAAGACTTCATGAATATTTGCATTGAACCAGATTCAATCAGTAAAGGAGAATACATTAAAAGAGGGTGAGTCCTAGAGAACCTGTAATATGCCTTATTGCTATCATAAAATATATTTATCAATGTGCTTTTGGGGCTAGTTGGTAGTTTGTATAGTAAGGTGCATTAAGGGCAAAACTGGAGAGAATGGACTTAAAATCTAGAGCGGAGACAAAACTAATTGGTGCCCCTGGCATAAATAAACCCTTCTAATGATCCCAGCTGTGTGTCAGCTTCAGTCAGCAAGGGCACCGAAGGAATAGTTCTTGGTGGCAAATCACAGTCTCTAATTTATAGTTTCCATGACCACTACAAGGCTGCAGATCATTTCCCTGTTTCCTTGAATCTCTTCATAATGCTCCAGTGTTGACTCATGGCGACTTCCTACATTGTTGTTGTCGCTATTTATTTCATTTGTGAATGGCTTTCCGTAAAACATCCCAAAGCAATTGAACGATAAAAATGCAAACCATAAAAGCATATCTAAAAACTAGGAGAGTCTCGAGACAAGGACAGCAGATGGGAACACTGTTAAGTCAGTGAAGAGGATGAATAAGAGGGAAGGCTTCTATCCATATCCTTCCTTTGAATCCTAAACCCCAGTATGCACTGTCAGGACATGGTGTGGTGTTGCCACAATGACCTAGTAGGCAGGGCATTGTCCAAAGGCTCATGATGCAGCCACCTCTCTGAAACGAAAGCAGGTCTGCTTCTGATAGGTCCCCAGCTTGATTCCTCACCCTGGCATGCACACATGGGGTTATACTCAAGGAGCTGACGATCCAAGCTGGTGCAGTGAGCCACCTTACTAGACTTGAACCTTGGTTCAAAGCGAGCACAGCAAAGAGCTTGTAGCTTTGAGCAAGTAACATTGTCCTGCGCTTCTCTTCTTTGTGTGTAAAACGAGAGGACCCCTTCGCCTCGCAGTCTGGTTGAGGGTGATGAACTCTGAGTCTTGGGTGCATAGATTTGGAGGGAAGTTGCATTGATCTTGATGGAACTGACTTCCAAGCATTAATTATTCAGGTCTGCAGTCCCTACTATTAAAAGGATGAGGCAGCTCGAGGAATTTGTAATCCATTTTAATTTAGGCTCCCTGACAAGGCCGTTGGCTTCGCGAGCCCCCGAATCAGCCACGGTTCCTCACTGCTGCACTTGATCCATAGCTTTCTCTTCCGATTTGTCTAATCTTAATGTATTTTGTTCTTTAACAGAGATTGGGCTTCTTTTTGGGGCTGTGCGAGGATTACCCTGCGGGAGTTCCTCTGGGCTGTAAATCAGGGGGCAGGGTCTCCATCTTGCGGGCAAATCTTGGCTCACCAGGTGGTCTCGAGCTGGCTTGCGAGGGTGTTTTTCCCAAACCATGCCCACCCATCCACCCACTTGTGACGTAATCTGATGGGTGTGTGGGTGTGATAAACCCTGATGGGGCATTCATGTTCCTAGCAGTGAACAGCAGCAGGCAGCCCAAACAGCAGGATGTTAAATCCTGCTCAGTTTGGCAGGACTCCATGCAAACCACTTCCTGATTCAGGGACATGTGGGTATCAGACGCTTCTGGTGAAGTACAATAACAACCTTGTAAAATATACAGTTTTGGGCTTTCCCCCCTCCCCCCTGTTTCCCCTTCTGCACGGGTTCTGTTTCTTTTTTATTTTTTTACTTTTGTTGTGTCTCACCATGTCTGACGCACATATGTACTTTTTGAACTTTCAATAAAGATGTTTAATAATAACAATAATAATAAAGATCTGGGTACAAAAGGTTATGAAAAAACGGTTATTTTAAGGTAAATGTTTTAAGTTTCAGGAAGTTGGATAAAAAATAAGGCGCTATTTAGTGACAATTTTATGAGATAAGTATTTGCTGAACAAAAAATTTGAACTAGAAAACAGGAAGGGGAGGTATGAGGAGGTCAGGGAAATATGTTATTGAAAATAAGTTGTGAACGGTATGAGTTTTTAATGTTTTTTCTATTTTTGTTTTGTACCTTTTTGCTTTGTATAAAATTGAAAATCTTAATAAAAATTTTATAAAAAAAACACAAACAATAATAATAAAGATCTGGCCTGTGGAGCCCAAAATTCCCTACCTCCACTGTAGATAATGTGCTCAAAGCAGGTGGTTCAATTAATGCTGCTTGTAGCTTGGTTTTTCAGATATGTCTTGCTTTTATCGCAATTCCCATTTAAGGGGAGGGTCTTCCCTAGTTGAGGCTTGATGCTACGCCATCCATTCCTTCTGCCACACAAGTTCATCGGTCTCTTAAAATGTCTTATTTAGTTTGGTTGGCTATGGCAGAAGGAGGAGAGTTGTGCCTTCCAGGGCCTTTCCGGCTTAGCAAGACGATCTGCTTGCCAGCTTCTCTGCAGCCCCTTTGTGCTTTAAGCATAGCTATAAAGGATGACTTGGTTGCTCTCTCCCTTTGTTTCGCACAGAAGCCAAAAGATGGAGGACCCCCACTTGTGCCCAGAAGGAAGCCAGTGCCTTCAGGCTAGCAGGTGTATCTTGCAGCTTCCAGAGGTGAGAAATAAAACATAGGGTAAAGCTATGCTTTCCTCATTCTTTCCTTACAGGTAAGAAGAAGAAGAAGAAGGAGAGTTTGGATTTGATATCCCGCCTTTCACTCCCTTTAAGGAGTCTCAAAGCGGCTAACATTCTCCTTTCCCTTCCTCCCCCACAACAAACACTCTGTGAGGTGAGTGGGGCTGAGAGACTTCAATGAAGTGTGACTGGCCCAAGGTCACCCAGCAGCTGCATGTGGAGGAGCGGAGACGCGAACCCGGTTCCCCAGATTAGGAGTCTACCGCTCTTAACCACTACACCACACTGGCTCTCTAGAATTAGGCAAATTTCCTTCTGTTGCATAAAGGCAGAATGATTACATTCCAACTTGCTTTGTTGGGATGGGATATGCCCAAAAGCCAGCTTCACCCATCCTTCCTAATTTAAAAAATCAGTATGTGACAGTGTGGTGTAGTGGTTAAGAGCGGTAGTCTCGTAATCTGGGGAACCGGGTTCGCGTCTCCGCTCCTCCACATGCAGCTGCTGGGTGACCTTGGGCCAGTCACACTTCTTTGAAGTCTCTCAGCCCCACTCACCTCACAGAGTGTTTGTTGTGGGGGAGGAAGGGAAAGGAGAATGTTAGCCGCTTTGAGACTCCTGAAGGGGAGTGAAAGGCGGGATATCAAATCCAAACTCTTCCTTGCTGTATTCCCTCCTCCTCTTGTGTCTCTTAGATTCAAGTAGGCCAGTTTCATGTCCCTTTCTATTCCCAGGACAAAGCCACTGTGTGGCAACAGGAGGAGTGTTTTTGTGGGCAATCAGTTCCTTCCAAAATAGCAGCCTATATTTCAGCTTTCAGAGAATCCTGTAGTTATGGGTAGGAAGCCAGGTTCATAGAAATTCCCAAGATGCAAATTCCACCTGTCTGAGCATAATCCCCAGTTAAAAATCATATTTGATGGACACAGAGACAAGGAGTGGGGGCAGGGGGAGATTCAAGACCCTGTAAATTGATTTTGCCCCCTAATCATGCTATACATTTGATGGGTAGGTTGTTCGGAATCCCAAAATTGACTATAGCTTTTAATGGATGAAAAAGGACTTTTCAGTTCTGCAGCTTAGGAGAAAGCAAGGGGGGCCGGAGGGAGGTGGAATGGGAAGAGGAGGTTAAACAGAACTAATTTGTCCAACCTATTTCTAGGAGGTGGTGATGGGGGGGTGGGCTACCACTAATAGCAGGGATCCAATGAGGGAAGACTTTCAGGTGGCAGTTTCAGGAACTGCCTCCTTGGGTGGTCTCTATGCAAACTGGGAAGTACCGAAATTTGGAACCAGGGCATCTTCCCTGTGGCCAGAGAGATGAATTTGACAGATAAAGATAAGGCATGAATTTCTCTAGAGGAAATACCTTCTGCTTGTGCTGGACCTGACGTTTACGGAATTAGAATTGTCAGCGGGCAGAAAGCAGGTGAGGTAGTTTGCAGGCTGTCTTAAGTGAGAGGCTCAATGATGTCTGGCAGATAGTTTGAGCCAGGGGTGAGAAATCTCAGCCATGGGGGACCAGGACTGTTCCCTAATCCAGTGTTTCCCAACCTTTTTTGGGCAAAGGCACACTTGTTTCATGAAAAAAATCTCGAGGCACACCACCATTACAGCCCCATGACGTCAGCGCGCAGCGTCACGCCGGGAGGGACGCACGAAAGTGCAAGTTTCAATTTTTTCCCCTCCCCCTTGCCTTCCTTCTGTGCCAACCGCCAAAAAGCCAAGAAAAAAGCCAAGACTTTAGGGCAGCAGGTCGACACGGAAGAAGCTCCTACCTAAGGACAGGTGCGACGGCCGTGTCCTCTTCTGCCACACTTGGCAGCCCTGCCTCACGGTCGTGACTCCCACCCTGATTTCTCCCCGCAGGTCGAGCGGCACAGGCAGCCCAATGTGTCCAGCCCAGACACAAGCCCCGCTTCCCCACTCTAGATCCTGAATGCGACCAAGTGCTCTGGACTCCCGAGCAGGGTGGGAAAGAGGACTCGCATCTGGTAGCCTCCGGGCTCCTCGCCTGCTCGAGGGATGGCATTGCAGGCAAGCTGCCGGCCGTCGCCATCGCCGCCCCCTCATGCGAGTGGACCTGCCCGGAGTGGTGGGCCGGGGGAGGCTCGCTCTCTGTGGGGATGTGGCCCGCACGCGCAGCCCCGCTTCCTCCTGCCCAGGGCTGAGCTCCTTACCCGCGATCTCGGTCTCGCGCACGCGGATCCCACTTATTCCGAAGCTCGCGCCACTAGCCGGGGCTCTCACACCGTGCCAGGGCGAGGCGGCGCGGCCCACTGACGTCATCGCGGCTCGCCGCCGCCCTCGACTTCCCTGTTCCCTCCCCTCCCTCGGGTCGCCGTGGTTACCGAGGACTGCAAGCTGCTCGGGCGAGCGTGGGGCATTAAGTGGGAGAAGGAAAATTAAAATTAAAACTCGCCTGAAGGCCGCCTCTCCGGATATCTTTCGAATTTTTTAATTTTTCCCGCGGCACACCAGGCAGCGTCTCGCGGCACACTAGTGTGCCGCGGAACACCGGTTGGGAAACACTGCCCTAATCCATTTAACCTCTCACCCTCCAGCCAGGCAGCCCTCCTGTCAATCATGTGACATCGCCTAGGCCACACCCCTCTACTGGGCATAGCATTGACAGCTTTACCTGGCTGGAATGTGCTCTTGAACTGTGATAATAGCCATTTTAGAAAATAAATAAACAGTGCTTTCTCAGTGAAGTGTTTCAGAAGAGAACAACTTGAAGTGGAGCCGTAACTAGGATGAACACCAGCTCTTTCTGGTATGTCAGGCTACGTAACCATGGAGGAAAAGACCCCTAGCTGCTCAGACCTAGCTTTCGTCAGCATGTCTCTTTCATCTTTCCTGCTTTCTCTGCAGGATACGGAAGGCTTCTTGGCTGTGGACAGCGAGGAGTACGAAGTGATGCCAGTGGAAGTGAAGCTGCTGCCCAGGAAACTCCGGTTTTTCTGTGATGCCAGAAAAAAAGAGCAAATGCTTCAAGGCGCATCCTAGCGAAGGCTGCTGCCGCCAGCCAACCGTGTGAACTTCAAAACGATGCTCTCCGGCTCCTGGTTGGCAGGCTGGCGTTTGCATCTGATAAGGCCTGCAGGCATGTCAGGTGCCAAAGAAGACACATATGGAAAGGGTCTCTGAAAAGGGGGTCAAATTGGTTAAGTTTAAAGAACTGCAGCTGGAAAATTTGCATGCCTTTCCTCGAGTACAATGAAAGACTTTGTTTTATTGCAGACTGACCAGTGCTTTGTGTGTAAGTAGCTGGATCTCAGAGTTCTAAATTCCCTGCCTTGGAAGTGTTCGGGTAGAAATCCATACATATTTATTTGGGTCTCGTTTGGCCATTTCTTGAGGGAAGAATGGCTTTCCCTTACTCTCAGAATTGCTATTTTCAGCAGAAGTGCTGTTTCAGCTGTTTGGCATTATGCACATCTTTTTTTCCCAAGGAGGTGACACACTTAACAAAGGAAATGAAGTGGGGGGGGGGTTAGTCTGAATACTTAAAATGCACACAATCCAAGTTGACTATGCACTTTTCTTAGAGAGAAGCTGTAGCGATGGAAAGATGCATCTCAAATGAGTGTGCATTGCCTATGGTCACGTTGCTATTATGCCAAGTTACGATGAGTAGCAGCTCTCCAACATATAGCAGAGGTGGTTTCCACTCCTACTATTAAATATAAAATTAAGATGCCTCCGATAATGCAGGTAGAACACAGACCTCATGGCGAATAGCTGTTGGAAGTATCATTCCTCCACAGATAAGTCTAACCCAAGTTGATGGCATTCACTGCATCTTGCCATAGTTTAAACCCCTGTGCGAACTACTTTCCATTGGTCTGTCCTGAATCTTCCAGCATCCAGTTTCAATCATGAGGGAGAAAAATGCTTCTGTATCTTTCGCTACACTCTGCACGTCTATTATAACGCCTCTTACTCATATATTCTGTAAACTAAACAAACAAAACAAAGCTGTAACCTTTCCTTATTTAGGAGTGATACTCCACCCCATTGATCATTTTAGTTGCCCTTTTCTAGCTTTTTGAATATAATAATAATAATAATAATAATAATAATTTATTATTTGTACCCCGCCCATCTGGCTGGGTTTCCCCAGCCACTCTGGGCGGCTTCCATAGAAACCAAAAACCCCACTAAAATATCATACATTAAAAACTTCCCTGAACAGGGCTGCCTTAAGATGTCTTCTGAATGTCAGGTAGTTGTTTATCGTTTTGACATCTGATGGGAGGGCATTCCACAGGGCAGGCGCCACTACCGAAAAGGCCCTCTGCCTGGTTCCCTGTAGCTTTGCTTCTCGCAATGAGGGAACCGCCAGAAGGCCCTCGGCGCTGGACCTCAGCGTCCGGGCAGAACGATGGGGGTGGAGACGCTCCTTCAGGTATACTGGGCCGAGGCCATTTAGGGCTTTAAAGGTCAACACCAGCACTTTGAATTGTGCTCGGAAACGTACTGGGAGCCAATGTAGGTCTTTCAAGACCGGTGTTATGTGGTCTCGGCGGCCGCCCCCAGTCACCAGTCTAGCTGCCGCATTCTGGATTAGCTGTAGTTTCCGAGTCACCTTCAAAGGTAGCCCCACGTAGAGCGCATTGCAGTAGTCCAAGCGGGAGATAACTAGAGCATGCACCACTCTGGCGAGACAGTCCGCGGGCAGGTAGGGTCTTAGCCTGCGTACCAGGTGGAGTTGGTAGACAGCTGCCCTGGATACAGAATTGACCTGCGCCTCCATGGACAGCTGTGAGTCCAAAATGACTCCCAGGCTACGCACCTGGTCCTTCAGGGGCACAGTTACCCCATTCAGGACCAGGGAGTCCTCCACACCAGCCCGCCCCCTGTCCCCCAAAAACAGTACTTCTGTCTTGTCAGGATTCAACTTCAACCCATTAGCCGCCATCCATCCTCCAACCGCCTCCAGGCACTCACACAGGACCTTCACCACCTTCACTGGCTCTGATTTGAAAGAGAGGTAGAGCTGGGTATCATCTGCATATTGATGGACACCCAGTCCAAACCCCCTGATGATCTCTCCCAGCGGCTTCATATAGATGTTAAAAAGCATGGGGGAGAGGACGGAACCCTGAGGTACCCCACAAGTGAGGGCCCAAGGGTCTGAACACTCATCCCCCCCCACCACTTTCTGAACACGGCCCAGGAGGAAGGAGCGGAACCACTGTATAACAGTGCCCCCAGCTCCCAGCCCCTCAAGACGGTCCAGAAGGATGTTATGGTCGATTGTATCAAAGGCCGCTGAGAGATCCAGCAGAACTAGGAAACAGCTCTCACCTTTGTCCCTAGCTCGCCGGAGATCATCAACCAGTGCGACCAAGGCAGTTTCAGTCCCATGATGAGGCCTGAACCCCGATTGGAAGGGATCCAAATGGTCCGCATCCTCCAGGCGTGCCTGGAGTTGTTCAGCAACCACACGCTCAATCACCTTGCCCAAGAATGGAAGATTTGAGACTGGGCGATAGTTGGCCATACTGGCCGGGTCTAAAGATGGTTTTTTAAGAAGCGGTTTAATGACCGCCTCTTTCAGCGGATCTGGGAATGTTCCCTCACAGAGGGAAGCATTCACCACCCCGCAGAGCCCATCGCCCAGCCCTTCCCGGCTTGCTTTTATTAGCCAGGATGGGCAAGGATCAAAGAGACAGGTGGTTGGTTTCACACGTCCAAGCAGCCTGTCCACATCCTCGGGGGTAACGGATTGAAATTGGTTCCATGCAACTTGACCAGACAGAGCTCTAGCACTCTCCCGCCCCAGCCCTGCTCCCACGGTGGTGTCTAGCTCCTTCCGAATATGAGTGATTTTATCTGCAAAAAACTTTGCAAAATCGTTGCAGGAGATCTTGGGGTCTTTACAAGGCCCCGATGTTAAAGGTGGTTCCGTTAAATTGCGGACCACCTGAAAGAGTCTCCTGCTACTATTTTCTGCAGATGCAATAGAGGCGGTGAAGAAAGTCTTCTTCGCCGTCGCTATCGCCACTTGGTAGGCTCGACGTTGAGCTCTAACCTGTGTCCGGTCAGATTCGGAGTGAGTTTTCTGCCACCGACGCTCTAGCCGTCTCAGCGATTGTTTCATCGCCCTCAGCTCCGAAGAAAACCACGGGGCTGTCCGGGCTCCATGCAATCGGAGAGGGCGCTTCGGAGCCAGACAGTCGATAGCCCTGGTTAACTCCACATTCCAGCGGGCCACCAGGGAATCAGCTGAAAGGCCATCAACATGGGATAAAGCATCCCCTACCACTCTCTGGAAACCATTTGGATCCATTAAGTGGCGGGGGCGGACCATCCGAATTGGTCCCACCTCCCTGCAGAGGGGAAGGGTCGTGGAGAAGTCCAGTTGCACCAGGAAGTGATCTGACCATGGCACTTCTTTAGTTTCACTTTTACTTAGTGTCAGATCACCCACGTCACTAGAGGTGAATACCAGATCTAAGGCATGTCCATGACTATGAGTTGGGCCCAACTTATTCAGGGACAGCCCCATGGAGGCCATGCTTTCCACGAAGTCCCGAGCGGCCCCTTGTAAGGTCGTGTCGGCATGGATGTTAAAATCCCCTAGGACAAGCAAACTAGGTGTCTCCAGGAGAACATCTGCCACGACCTGAAGCAGCTCGGACAGGGAATCCTTGGTGCAGCGGGGAGGTCAGTACACCAAAAGGAATCCTGTACTGCCCCTATTGCCCAACTTCCAGAACATGCACTCAGAAAACTGGGTCTTCCCAGTAGGACGCCTGATGCAAACTAATGACTTCCTAAAAATCACTGCAACCCCCCCTCCCCGCCCACATGACCTGGGTTGCTGTGCGTAAGAGAAACCTGGTGGGCAAGCGGCAGCAAGGACAGGCCCATCCGCTTCATCCAACCAGGTCTCTGTCACACATGCCAGGTCAAATCCTCCATCCACAATCGGGTCGTGGATGGCAGTGGTTTTATTCATCATTGACCTGGCATTACACAGCAACACCTTCAGGTTATGTGGGTTTCCCCTGTTGATTCCAGTATCCATCCGGTCAAGGCCAGACCCGGAGGCAGGGATAGTCTTCAAACAACGACTAAACCTGCCTCCTCGGTAATGACATGGTCTGGTCTTGGCGTAACTCCGCCTCCTGCCCATGATCACCGAGATCGGATGTCCCAGTGCTTCCCCCCCTGTGGAACTTGTCCCAGCCATCGTGTTGGCTGGGGCCCCACTCCCAGGCAGCCCTGATCCCGCCCCTTAAAAACAAAACTGGGAGAGAACTATAGCTGGGAGAGATGTGAGATGACCAGAATTATAGTGTGTTCCAGAAATATTCACTGTGTACCACAAGCTCTTTGCTGGTCCCTGGTATGAGGTGGGAGCCTTGAACCCCTCAATCACATTTGTAAGGAAATTAATCACCAGCTCCCTGGCCAAGAAGGGCTTGGCCCTATCACTGATTCCCAAGACAAAATACATTCATGTTCTCCCATTACTAACATAAAAATCCTCAGAACATATCTCTATATTAGAAAGAAGTATCTCATTACAGTTGTCCCATAAAGCGCTTTCAGAATAATTGGCAGGCACAAAAGGCTGTATGTGTTAAAAGTGAACTTTAATAGAGTAAAAAAAGTCCATTATAGTATGTACATGAGTCCCTCTCGGGCTCCACATAAGCAGTGGCAATCCACAAACTTAGTGCTTTCCTTCTTGTGGGAAAATGAAGAAAGCCACAGGTACAATTGACACCGCTAAAGGAAGGTGCGTGGTCACAGCTTAGTGAGGAGAGGCTAGCTGCCGATCAAATCAGATTCACACTTCATCAGAGATATTAGAATTATCACAGCCTGTGCTGCCTTTATGGCCGAAACCAAATTGGTAGTTGTACACTAAACTTGGCTGCTGAGGGATACTGCTTTAAATCACAACACCCTACAGATTTCTTACCTAGGAGGAGAGAAGGATGCCCTCTCACTGACACTACCAGGAGGGGATTCACTCAATCCACCCTTTTACCAGAAATACTCCCAGTATCAAGTGGGGAAGTATCACAAGCAGCTTTATGGCCAAACCACATGTGGGAGAATTGGGACTGGAACGCCTGCTGCGCTCAGGTGTTTGTTCTTAAACTTTCACAACTACTGATGAGCCAACATTGGATTCAGGCAACAGTTCTGGAGGAGAGGTTTATCCCCCCCCCCTTACTCAAGATCTCTCCCTGAGCTATTAGTCCTTCTAGGGGGAAAGCCAGGT